CTCTCTCTCCCTTCCCCTCTCTCTAAAAATAAATAATATTTTTTTAAATGCAGAAATGCCTATTAAAATGGCTAACACTAAAATAAGTGATCATAGCAAATGCTAGCAAGAATGTGGAGCAATAGGAGCCATCATTCATTGCTTTGCTGATGGGAATGGGAAATAGCCACTCTGGAAGACAGTTTGACAGTTTCTTAGAAAGCTAACATAGTTTGACCATATGATCCAGCAATCGCACTTTTTGTTATTTATCCAAATGAGTTGAAAACATGTCCCAAAAACCTGAATACACGGTTTTTATTTTTTAAAAACTTGTGGCTTTTATGTTTATAGAAACTTTACTCACAATTGCCCAAAACTTGAAGAAATCAAGATGGGGTTTTTTTTATGGTAAATGGATAAACAAACTGTGGTACATTCATACTATGAAATACTATTCAGTGATTTAAAAAATGAGCTATCAAAACACAAGACATGGAGTGACATTAAATGAATATTGTTTGGTGAAAGCAGCCACTCTGAAAAGACAATATTCTATATGATGCCAACTACGTGAGATTTTGGAGAAGGCAAAACTATGGATACATTAAAAAGAATCAGTGGTTGCTAGGCATTCAGGAAGGGAGGGAGGAGAGGGATGAGTGTGTGGAGCACAGGGGAGTTTTAGAGCAGTGACACTATTCGGTGTGGTACAGTAATGGTAGGTACATGACATCACCAAAGGAACATTCTGTCTCTGCTCACAACACTTCAGACATCAAATGTGTTTGTGTTTTTCCCACACCAACCAATTTTCCAGCTTTTCAGACACTGAACAGGTGTCCTACAATTCAATTCTGACACTAACTACCCAGAGTTAGTGCAGATCCCACCAGTTAAGGACTCAATTCCACAGGACTGCCCCCACTTCAGATGCCAGTCACAAGTAGTGTGTCCACAGGTTCACACTTATGCCCAACCTGGCTTTAAATTGCGGTTCCTGTGACCTGATCTTCAGATTGGATAATTTGCTATAATGACTTATGTAACTCCAGGGAATACATCATAAAAGATATAACAAAGGATACAAACACACAGCCAGATGAAAAGGTATGAAGAAGGTGCAGGAGCTTCTGCCCCTGTGCGGTTGGAGTGCATGACCCTCCCAGCACTTATTTGTCTTTACCAACCCGGAAGCTCTCCGAACCCCTTAGTTTAGGGATTTTTATGGAAGCTCTGTCAAATAATTGTGATCAATTACTAACTCTGTCTCCAGCCCCTCTCCCCTCTCCAGAGGACACAGAACGGGGCTGAGAGTTCCAACCATCTAATCATGGCTTGGTCTTTCTGGTGACCAGGACCCACCCTGAAGCTATCCTGGCACTCACCTAGGCTCCTGTCATTAGAACAAAAGACACTCCCATCACCCAGCAAATTGCAAGCAATTTAGGAGCTCTCTGTAGGATGATTTTACCACCCCCATCACTCAGAAAGTAATAAAGGTTTCAGGAGGGCTGTGGCAAGAATTGGGGGTTAAAGACTGAGTGTTAGAAAAAAAGATGCCTCCAGCACCCCTATCACTCAGGAAACTACAAAGGTTCTAGGAGCTCTGTGTCAGGAACTGAGAGAAGAGACCAAACCTATATTTCTTACTATGTCATAGGTGGATATGTGACATTATACATTCAGCAAAACCCATAGGATGGGAGAACTCAAAGATAACCCTAATGCAAACTCTGTTAATTATAGCACACTAATATTTGTTCTCCATTTGTGACCAATGTATCACCCTAATGCAAGGGGAAACTGTAAGCAGGGAAGAAAGGGAACTTTCATACTATCTACTTAATCATCTGTAAATCTAAAACTGCTCTAACAAAACAAAGTATATTCATTTTTTAAAAAAGAGAAAAATTTTAAAATAGTCAAAGGATGTTTGGCAAACTGCTCAATGAAAAGAGTAATGTAATAGTTAATGAGAGGAACTTAGTACAGAAAGAATCTAATTAAATCACTTTAATAATCCACGTTTGATCAGAACTGTCTGCTATGAGACCATATCAAAAGAAGCTATAGTCTCCATGTAATTAGGAACAAGAGTTGAAAGAAAGTTTGCAATGATGTAAACCATGAGTGGATATAGATAAGAAAGATAATGCTATATACTGTCAAAATCAATGATTCCCTCAGGACTTATTTTCACAAAACTTGTTCTCTCTGAAATCTGATATCTCACCAAGTTTTCGTCCAAATAGTAAAAGCAGATGAGGATGCCCATAGAGAAATAAAGATAGAAATAACTGTTTATGTAAATCTAAGATGTACTAGCCAGAGTTTTTGCAGAGAAGACTGGCTGCACTGTATTTTGTTATTTATGCCTTGTGTCCTTTTCATTCTATCCTTCTGTGCAAGTTGCATCCTCGTATCACACTTTAGTGTTGAGAATCTTTCAGTCTGACCCTTTCTATGGCCAGTAGTAGACCAAGGAGCCTAAGACATTTCCAAATCTAAATTTTTGTGTCTAGAAGTCTTTTTTTTTCAATTTTATAGATCTCGTATTCATGTCACTGATAAAAAATTTAACTATAAAATTATGCTTTTAATTCTTAGACGGGTTGTAGTGAAGGGTTTAGGATTAGTTTGGTCCCTGCGTCTATGAAACATAAAACACAGACTCTATCAAAGGTCAGGACACAAGTTCTATCATATCGCATCCAGTGTTCTTCTGATAAAGTATGCAATCTTTTGTATGACTCCATAACCAAACCTCTGGGGTCTGGCTTTCCTGTCTGTAAGAGTTAAACCTGGGCTTTACTGTTTTAATAAATGTTTAAAAATTATTATAAAAGTAACATATAATCACTGTAGAAAATTTAGCAAGAGAAGAAGCAAGAGTAATTGAAAGAAGAGGAAGGAAGGGAGGGAGGGAGGGCTGTGTAGAAGGAGGGAGCGAAAAAAAGAAAAGTCACTTAAAATCTCAGCACTTTAAGTTAAGGAATGTAAGATTTTAGTGTTCACCACTCTGGATATTTGAAATATTCTACGCACTCTTGTAACTTGCCTTCCTCTGTTTTACATCTTTCAGTGGGAGACTACATCTAGAGTTGGAAGGTGGCAGAAACTGTGCAGCTAGTGAATGAGAGTCCAGGTGTGGGAACTAGACGCCTCGTTCACATCCTGGCTCAGCTTCTCAGTAGCTGTGTGATCCTGAGCAGACCACTCCACCTCTCTGTTATCTCAGTTTCCCATCTATACAATGGAGATAAAAATAATAATAACTGATTGTTTGTAGGGTCCATTGTGAAGATTCAGCAGCTTAATAAATTTAAACCACTTATCACAGCATCTGGTATAATGTACACTCTGTATCAGGGTCAGTAAAAAGCCAAACAGTAAATATCTAAGGCTTTGCAGGGTCATGTGGTTTCCGTTGCCACCTCTCAAGGATGCCTTTGTAGCACAAAAGCAACTGTAAATGAATGAGGTGGCTGGTTCCCATTAAACTTCATGGTCTCTGAACTTGAATTTTATATAATTTTCATGTTATGAAATATTATTTTTCTTTTGAGTTTTTAAACCATTAAAATGTAAACATTTCACAGTCTAAAAAATTCAGCAGTAGGCTGGACTTTTGGGCCATAGTTTGCTGACCTCTCTTCTATAAAATTAATAGACATTATTATGTCTATTATCTTTATATAAACTATTTTTAATAGTTACTTATAACAAGATTGTTTGGATGTCCTATAATTTACTTAGTTCCCTAATGTTAGAATTTAGATTACTTCCAGTATTCATTACGTAAGTCACACTCCAATGAATATCCATGCAAAATCTTTGAGTACATTTATCACTACATCTGCATCCTAAAGTGTATTTAGTGGTAGCTACCAAAATGGCTGGTGGAGCATCAAGAAAGAAATACTCTGAAGAAATGGCCTTGGAAACTAATCTTATGTAGTTAGAGCAAATTTCAAACATGTTAGAGGAGCTTTATAACATATTCATATACATAGACCTTCTATGTATGTATCGTGTACCATTCTAAGCCGTGTGTGTGTGTATAATAATTAGTCTTCAAATAATTCTAGGAGGTACAGTTGCAGTTGTCACCAGCAGCAGCAGCAGCAGCAGCAGCAGCAGCAGCCCCATAGAACAAAAGAAGAAACTGAGGATTAGAAAAGCTAAGTAACTTCCCCAAGGTCACACATGTAGCTGGTAGCAGAGGCAGGATTCAAACCTGGTCTGTCCAGCCTATGATTGAACCCAATGCTGAACCGACCATTCACAGGTGAGACTCGGCACTCCTAGATACACTATAATGTACCTGTAGTCTCTTGTATATTTCAAGAATGTTTGGCACTCACCAGGGACCTCAGACTCTAATAACAGGCACAAATTTTATCCCATAAGGGGACCTTGTGTGGGAACTGAGAACGCCCATCTAACCTTCTTCTTTTGTCCTCCATCCCTCCCCTCAAGCTGACTTGTCATTAATTTGCCCTGCATGTCTTACCTAAATAGTTGTCCTCTATAAACAGTAAAGATTGATTGCAGCATATTTTCACATCTTCTTTTCCAATTTAAGGCCACAAATATATCAAATTTACGTGGCAAATTTCGTGGAGCTTTGCTTTTAATAGAGGGTCCTGCAATGCCATTGGAATGCAAATTTCGAATAAATACTTTCCTTTGAAAACAATACAGTGGCTCGTGTCAAAAGTCTCTCCTGAGTGGCCACCGCAGCAGCAGCAGCAGCAGCAGGGCTGCCTTGCTCCGGCCCCTGCGGAGTCCGGCAGGGAGGTGTCCTGCTTCTGGGGACCAAACCTCCAGCCTCCGCCGCCAAGCTCAGATGCGTGATGCGTGCTCTCCCAGCCCTTCCCGGCTTGTGCCGAGCAGCAGGCGACTGTCCCAGAAAGGAGTTATGCGAGTGAGTCGTTTGACTTTCGAGGGGAAAAGCAGATCACAGTTCTCATTTCTTATCCTGACCTGTCTCCCTGCTGGGACTCTAGGGCTCGAGTTACACCCCCGAGTACGAGCGACCGACGCCGCTGGTCCCAAGTTGCTGCCCGCACCCTCCCCCCACTCATGCCCAAACAAGGACAGAATCGAGAAGTCGTGAGGAAACGGGGAAAGAAAGAAGCGGGTGTTTCAAAGTGATTACGGGTGTGCGGACCCGGCGGTGCAGCTCGCGGAACCTGGAGGGGAGTCCGGGTGGAAGCCCCGGGCTCCGCCCGCTGGGGCGGGGGACGTCGGGGCGCCGGGCGCGTGCGCGGTGAGGCCCCAGCCCTGGACGCCGTTGTAGCGATGCCTATTTTAGTCAAAGCTACTGCCTGCGCGGGGATCCGTTACGAGCCGAGGAGCCACCGATCTGCTGAGTCTTTCGCATCGGGCGCCTTTGGAGCCGTCGCACCCGCGTCCCTGCGCCCCGCTGGTGGCTGCCCCAAACTTTGGTCAGCGCCGCCCAGGATCGGAGCCTGGGACAAGCCAGGTAAGGAGAAGGAGGTGCAGCTGCCACCGAGAGCCGGCTGTTTGCCGCCTCGCGCTCCCGGGGCTAAATCGGGAAGCGAAACTTGGATCCCTGCTCCACTGTGAGCAACTTCTGTGTCCCAGGCGGCGGCTGCCCGGTCTCCGCGCCGCCGCCGCCGGGCCCCGCCCTCTCCTGGTGGGCCGCGCCCTCTCGGGGTTCCCTGCCCTTGGAAGCGGCTCTTCTCCCGCGGTGTTGGCGCGGAGGCCACAGACCCTCGAGAGTCAGCTTCCGCAGCTCCGGTTTGGGAGCGCCAGCGTCCCCCGGCGCTCAGGTCTCATCGGGTGCCCGTTCCCGCGCTTTGCCGAGGGCATATCCTTGGTGACCTCGGCCTGTCTCTTCCCGCTGGGCTCCGGGGGTTCCCGGCCTCTGAACCCACTACGGCTCCTCCTCTCCCCCAGTAGGGCCGCCGGGTCCTGCGCGGAGGCGGTGTGCGGTGGTGTGAGGTGGAACACCGCGCTCAGTGCACATCTCGTGGTCTGAGAGCTTCGGGTCAAAGAGAACAGTGGACACTGACCCTCCTTCTTTTAGGAACCAGGTGAGCGGGGCCTTTGGGGGCAGAGATGACTAGGGAACGCGAGATCCTCGCCACTACCCTCCCCGCTCCCCCTCCCCCCCCATACACACACACCAGTTGTCCAGGCAGGTCATAGAAACTGCTTGTTTTTAAGTGAGAAAAGACTCAACGACATAAATGCCCTTTGGGATTCCGAAGATGTACAAAGGTTCAGTTATAATTACAGAATGAACTGAACACGTATACTAGTACGACTTCTGCTCACTGCTGTTATCTTCATTTTTGTAGTTTGTTGAAAGGTTGAGGTTAGTTTCAGCATTTAGCTATGTAGCCCTGCAGATACTTATTTGAAAAACAACACATAAACAGGACTTTACTAAACAGGTAGTTGTAGGAATTAGACTCCGAAAACTAATAGAAGAAAGCAAAGTTTTCTCTATTTAATCAAAATTAATCTGAACGTTTACCAATTTACCAGTCTAATCTTCCTCATTAGACCCACTCATTCTCTGTGTAAGGATAGTTTAGTGCAAACCACTTTTATCACTACTAATACGGCTCAAAGGGAGCTGAAACTGGCAAGACCCTATCAATATTTATTGACAGTAGATAACTGGCATTTCAAAATAGGCATACAGATAAAGATACATAGGCAAATAATAGACAATAGATAAATATACAAGTAAATAAATGATATATAATATATTAATTAATACATGATTTAAAAATACATAGAAATGTAAACATAAACTGTATGTATATGTATATCTTTAATAAGGCATAGTGTATCAAAATATGTTGTAGGATGATCTCACCTTTTAAAACTTTGTATTATTATTCCCTTTGTTCTTGGGTCAGTAGTTATAGTTTCCCTGTCATTTCTCTTGGACCAGGAATTGGTAACTTTAGTGCCCCTTGCAGAACATTTAAAAGCCTGAAACTGAACTACAGTGAATTAGTTGGCAATACAAGTGTAATCAGGTGGATTGGGGGGGGGGGGTATATGTAAATGTGTATTAGAGAGACACAGGCTATTAAAACTTGAAGAGGTTTCAGAGACCACCTGGCCCAGCCTCCTCTGTTCCCAGAGAGAAGCAGACAGAAGGGGCAGAAGAGATTTTCCCTGGCTAAGGTGTCTCTCTGGAGCTGGTGGTATAGACACTGAGTCTCTCAATTCAGGAAGGGTAGGATTCTTCTGTCCTTATTGCTGAGGCTTGGGGAGACTGAAAAGCGATTTCTAACTGTGTTCCCCATTGTTTGTGTCCCTTTCCTATGGCTTTCACTTCTGGCATCGCTACACAGATGATTACGTTATGGTCTACCTCACGGAGAACATAGGGTAGTCAAAAGAACAAATAGGACAATGGAAGTGAAAGCACGTTCTAAAATGCCATAGAAATGGTAGTTGTTGTTAGCCTATGTGATGCTAATGTATAGGCTGACATTGACATTAGTTTATGAGTGATAGAGGACATTTAATATCATTCTCCCTCCTGCAGAAATTATTTGATTAATTCTGGTTTGGTCGTTGAAAGCAAACTTTGTGTAAGTAGAGTTATTAAAATAATGATGCTCCTCCCCCAACCCCAATAGGTTTGTATTTTTATTGATTGAAACATTTGGAAAGTAGTTGAATTTTTATGATTTCTTTACTTTTGCAGAAAATCAATATCTAAGTCAATACAAGATTTCTCTTGTATTTATGAGCTATTTTGGAATTATGTAAAAAGATCTTTAATGAATTTTATCATTTCATTCACAGTTTGTAAGTTGGTGTGTGTATGTTTTTTTAATCACCTTAAGAGATGTGGAATTCTTACATATTTGTCTAATAACATCCTTTCAGAATGCCCAACCTGTTTCAATTATTCCTACCATCAAAAACCTTTAGTATGACAAAAAAAAATGAATGGAAAAGTATGGTTAATTGACCTTATTTAGAAAAAATACATATTTTAAATTAAATTTAAAGGTATTTTTGGTTCCCATTTGGAATTCTTTTCTTGAACCAGGATAATTCACCTATTCTGTAAATATACATAGTTTTTGTCAGGGACCAATTTATATAATTAATAATAGAAAAGTAGAAAAAGTTTTTAAAGTCTATCTAGAGGTATAAATGAGTAAAAACAGTTTTTGTTCCTCAAATTTAATACCATTGCTTCTTACAGTGTTGAATACATGTCTTTACTAAGTAAAATTGTTCTAACACTGTATAAAACGTATAGAAAGAGTTTTTTAAATACCAGAGATGGAGGACAGGTGCTATGGTCAGAAAGTAGTGCCACTTTATGTAAAATATATATTCTTTGAAATGTATTTCTTATAGATTTTAATATTAAATAGTTAAATGTATATTTATGACCTACACATAAGTAAAATGGAAGTTTATTACTTCTCAATTTGTCAGATGCAACCAACTAGAATTTTTATGGGAAAGAAAGTAGAGATTTAAATTAGACACTAAAAGAAGGAGTAAATGTTATATCTTTCTTTATATCTATAAATGATTACAGTAATATATATATTATGTATTCATGTGAATGTAGAATGTATATAAATGTAGGATACAATGAATTCACAACAATATAAAAATAGAACCTTCTAAATATCCTGTCTTCATATTTAAATATGAGGTTTGTTTTTTTAAGTTTTTCAAAAAGTCAGTTATTCCAGTTATTCTTCCTGTTTTTATATTTGGTGTCACTATTGGAAATATGGTGGGCAACTATATTAAATAACTCTGTAATTGTTGTAGTTTATGAACATCAGTGCTTATCTTTCAGACTAGCTAATTCCACCCTTCCGTTCTCCCTCACCATCATGTATGTTTATGTACAGATAAATAGTACTACAGATATGTAGATATACATATATACACACACATATATCAGAGAATAGTGTGCTCTGCTAAATATTTTATGTATTTTATTTCATTTAATCGTAAAGACAAATATTAATCATGAAGTCAGATGAGGTATTATTATCATTATTTAACAGATAAAGATTCAATATGTGACAGAGCTGGGGTTTGGACCTGGGTCTGTCTAACTCACAGGTGGCAAACACCAGGCCTGAGGGCTGAATCTGGCCCTCTACCTTGTTTCTACCTGGCAGCAGCGCCAAGCTCCTTGTCCCTAGTTAAGGAGTAGTTACATTTATACAGTCCTAAGATTACGTTCAGCCCTTTGAAGGCAACCTTGAGGCTGATGTGGCCCCTGGTAAAAATGAGTTTGACACCCCTGGTAACTCATTAGCCGCAGAGAAGTCTATTTACCAATGTTTATCTGCAGAAACAATGTTGGTATAACATCTATCAGGGTGATAAGATACAGCTGTCATTTTTATGATTGTCCTATTGTTTGTTTTTACAGGAATTTTCAAGATGAATTACACTGAGTCCAGCCCATTGGCAGGATCAACAGCAATAGGTTTTACACCTGAGTTAACAAGTATTATACCTGTGCCTTCCAATGAGACCACTTGTGAAAACTGGAGAGAGATACATCATCTAGTTTTTCATGTAGCAAATGTTTTTTTTGCAGTCGGATTGATTATTCCAACTACTCTTCAGCTCCATATGATACTTCTTAGGGGGATGTTAGCTATAGGTAAGATACCTGACTGAGATTTTATGCAACTTTCCTGTAGCTGGCATCAGACAGGTTTTGTACAGAGAGCTTTAGAGAATTCCTTCTCAGATCTGGAGCATACCAAAAATATGTCTTTGTCACTGAATTAGCAGTATATCAGGTAACTTGGAATGTAGGCCTTCACATGCCATATCACTGCCTTACTTTAGATAAACCTTTGTGTGTTTTTCATATGTTGTTTAGATTCCCCAGATATCAGAAAATCCATTTGTGTGTAGAAGTGTGGATTCTGGAGCCAGAGTGTGTGATTTGAATCCTAGTCCCAACACTTGCTAACTGTGTAACTGGAGCAAGAGATTTAACCTTTCTATACCTCAGTTTCCCCATAGTCAAATAGGGTAAAAATAATACCACCATCTAGGGTTCTTGTGAGTATTAAATGAGTGTGTGTGCACATTTGACTTAAAATGGAACCTGATGCGTAGTAAGTACTACATAATCTTAAATATTATTATTTGAACAGGCATACACTTGATATGGCAGCAAAACAACATTAGGAGCAAGAGCAATTGAAATTACCCAGACGAAAGCGTTTAAATAAAACTTTTTTGGGGGGCCCCAGTAACCCTGATGAAGCAGATTAAATTGATTCACATCGAAAGACTAAAACAATCAGATTTATTATTTGAGGCCACAATTCTTGACAAATTACTCTGTGATTATTTCCCTAATGATTCATTCATTCACGTGCATTTTTGAGCACCTGTAATATGTCAGACAAAGATTGAAGAAGACAATCTCCATCCTTGAGGAAGACACTCCTGAGGGCTGGAGAAAAACAGATGGGTGGTCACATGTGATACAGGTGTGGCCCGTGTCAAGGAGCAACGGAGAATGATAGGTTTAGCAAGGGTGGTGGAGCAAAGTTTCCCTGAGGAGATGACATTGGAGCTTGCTTTTGGGAGATGAAGAGGATTTCTTTGAGTGTGAGTGTATGTGGTATCCAGGTAAAGGCATAGAGGAGAGGGAAATTCAGCGTGTTTATAGAGAATGAAGAGTAGCTTATTGTACATATGAATGATGACATGGAATGGCCGAGGAAGAGGGAGCAGAGTGTTGAATGGAAAAATAATAATACACACTACAAAAATCAAAAGCTAATTATGAATTTGAAGACTGAGTTTTGGAGGTGGAGTGGACTAAAGAGGTCATTTCGCCCAATACTTTATAATGAAGAAACTGAGGCCTGGATATGTCGAATGACTCACCAGAAACTATGGCCCTGGCCTGACTGGGCCTGTAATTCAGCTCCTCTCACTTCCCTTTGGCCTTTCCATTATGTTACCTTGTCTCATTTAAATAATAATATTTAATTTTTTTTCAAAATTTTCTATGAAATATTTAAAGAACATTTAAAGTTTTACGTTTTATGCTGTTACTCAGCTGCCTCAGATTAGTCTGAGGGAATAAAAAATTGCAAATCAATAACTTTTAAACATGAGGTTAGTTTTTATGTGTGTGTGTCATTGATATGTATCATATTGATAATTTTATTTTAAGTTAAATATATATATTGATGCTCTCACCATTAATCAAAAGAAGCTGTTGCTATTTTATTTAGAGTAAGAGAATCAATAAGACAAACTAGTAAGATTCTCATAGATGAATGGATAACCACCAAGTGAAAATTAGGATGGTTAGAAGATTTGGGTTAAATAGTCCAAACTCACCAAAGTCTTGGAAATGCAAAATATAATTATACAAAACTCCTCACTATCAAATTAAGAGTTTTCAAATTTTACAGTACTGACAACTTGATGCTGGCATTCCCAACTAGTAGGATTGAGAATTGTTAGAAAACCTTTTGGAAAATGATTCTTCAATGTCATCAGAAGCAATGAAGTTCATTCCCTTGACTCACTGTCAGGTAAACCACCCAAAGCAAAGAGCCACAAAAACACATCAATTTTTACATATAAAGATGTTTTGGCTACCTATCAAAAATTACAACTCAAACGAGTCTCATCTGTCCACCAATAGGAAGATGGTGGAATAAATTATAGTTTAATCAGTTACAGTCATTAAAAACTACATACACATAGAGTTTTTAATACAATGGGAAAATTGCTGCCATAAGTAAAAGAATGGGTTTTAAAATTATATACAGTAGTTTTTCCATCAGGTAAAAATGCATAAAGACTGTGAAGAAGTATTAAATATCAATATTGGTTTTTTTAAGTGATAGAATTATGGATTTTTTTCCTCTTTTAAAAAGATTCTCTACCTACAAATGTTCTGCAATGAAGCATGTTTTTCTTTTTTCATAATCAGACAAAAAACAAAATGAAACTTCATGGGATGTTTGGCTTAGGTATTTTTAGAATGTTTTTGGTTTATTTACAGATTTATTAAGCTATTCTAAACATCTAACGGATTTAATTTTTCAACAGGATGCTCCCTTTACATCGTCTGGGCCACCCTCTACCGATGTGCCTTGGATGTCATGGTCTGGAACGCTGTGTTCCTCAGCGTCAACACTTTGCATCTTTCATATCTTTTGTACAAGAAGAGACCGGTAATTACTTGAAGTTAATTAGTAAGGAAGAGATTTTAAAGCTGGAAAGCTTTTAGAGTACTTTGTTCAGACTTGAGAATGAGCATCTGACATTTTCAGTCCCTTTAATATCGTTCCAGATGAGGCTGTCTGTTTACACATGCCTGAAAGTGAAACATTTGAACACCATGCAGTGTGCTCTACAGATGAGGCTTTTAAACTTTTTTAAATCATTAGGGCAGTTTAGACATGAAACAACGTGACAATACTCTCTTTTTCGACATATAACTTCATTATTTCTCTGTTGATATTCAGATGTTACTTGCAAATATCTTTGCCTAGTTGTAAAATTATTCATAGGCAACTTCTATAAACACACTAGCGATTTACAAATAGCTCATGCAATATTTTTCATGCTAGTTTTTTTTTTAATCCTCACCCAAGAATATGTTTAGAGAGGAAGGTAGAGGGATAGGGGGAAAAAACACTGATGGGAGAGAGAAACACCGATTGGTTGCCTCCCCTACACACCCTGCCTGGGGGCCTAACCCTCAGCCTTTTGGTGTAGGGAACGAGCTCCAGCCAGCCCAGCCACCAGTCAGGCCTCGTGCTGGCTTTCAAATGTAATGATTGTGTTTTTTTCTTATGCCCAAAATACTCATTTAAGGATTTCATCATTTTTGGTGAGTTGTCATCAAAACACTAGGATTTAACTTTTTCTTTTCAACGCTGTTTTATCTTGCTGTGTTTCCTCAGTCATACCAAAAATGAAAAGATACAAATAAAATAGGAAAATACAGGAAAATGCATGGCTCCTAGATATCGCTTCATATAAGTTTACTGACTGTCCAAAGCACACACAAATATTCAATCAAGTAAAAAATACAATACTTGCCCTAATCTTATATTCAAGGCCAGACATGTGGGGAAAACTGTTAGAAAATGAGGCAATTTATGGGAAATTACAGTTTGAATGACACAGATGATAGATATATGATAGGCATTCTGATAGGCGTTCCACTGGATTGTAACCCAGTCTGTTTTCCCTAGGGTGTTAGTTTTCTCCATGTTATGCTGTAAATACAGCCAGCCTCCAGAAAGGCTGTATAATGAACAACCAGAAATCTCAGTGACAGACACCAGCAACAGGTTTTTCCCTCTCCCACCTTACGTGTGGACTGGCAGCTGTGTGGCAGCTGTGACTGTTCCATGTGTCGTCTTCATTTCAGGCTGTCTGCTGAGGCAGTGGCTTCTGTTTGGGCATGCATTCTCACAGCAGAGAGAAGACAAGAACAAAGAAGAAACACCCAGTGTCTCTTCAAATTTCTGCTCAGAAGGGGCATATGTCAATTCTGCTCACATTTTATGGGCCAAAGCCAGCGACATGGCCACGCCTGATAATGTGGGGGGTAGGATGGGGTAAAGGGATGTATAATCCTCTTGCAGGGGGTGGGAACAGCAAATAGTTGGGAATAACAGTATCTACCACACTTACTGTTCTATACCCTATTCCTATCAACCATGCTTGGCACATAGTGCGTGCTCAAAAAACACATTTGATGAGTGGATGCTTTCGAAGAGAAGAATTAAGGGTGCATCATGAAGGAATTGGGACTTGAGCTAAGACTTGCAGGATAAGCAGAGTATGAATATGAGTCAATAGATTTTTCAGTTCATGTATTCATTACTGTGCCACGCTGGCTAGTGTACAAACTGGAAGTGAGACTTATTTGTGAATGAGTTATTTTAAATACTCATTACTAGTAAGGAGGTAGATGACTGGAATAATGACGATTACTGTTTCTGAATATTGAAACTTGCTGCAGTCCCAAGTTTTGAACATAAGGTTTAGAAGTGGCCGATGTGATGGTAGCGTCAAGTGAGTAAATCACTTAGTATCTGAGCTTTTGTGTCTTCTCAGACTATAAACCTACTTTTAAAAAATATATAAATGCTGGTTCTTTGTTACAATGAAACAGCAGGACAAGTAAGAACACTACAAAGGCTGCCTTGACCTCTGAGCAGCTCTCATCATCTGGGTCTTTAGGCTTCATCGAGTGACTGCCATAGATTTCATTGGGACTGACGATCACTTGAACCCCAAAGCTGTTTGACACGTGGTCCAGCTTTCCCACACTAATGCTGGGCCAAAGGTGGATGTGATCTGAGCCTCGATTGTCTGACAACAGAGGCGACTGAGCCTTTTCACTTTTCCCTTCTTCCAGTAGCCAGCGTTTCTCACTAGTGGTTCCCTATTCTACAGATTCTGTTTTAGCTTAGGATGACGCTGCTACCCTGAAATGCTTTTACACTTTGCACTTTGCTCTAGAATAAATGAGAAGCAATGATTGTAGCTGTGGATGCTTGTTTTGCTATACTGGTGCATTAAATGATCATTACATGTAGGTGAAACACTTAATGTATGTATTTTCATAAATGTGTTTCCATGTAGATTCCAATTTTGTGTGTTTATTTTCTTGCTAAATGTTTTAAAGTTAGTGTAATTTCTGCAAAACAGTATTGTCCTAAAAATGAAAAGATTTTGTGTTAATGATAAAAAAATACTAAGAGTGGGAAGGCGAATGCTGTAACAACATTCAAAACCTCCACAGTTGCTTTGTAGCACATGGGGAGAGATGGAATCAATAGTGCAAACCTCCCCCATGAGCTGTCCGATCCATTTAACTGCAGAAGTGCCCTTTTAGCATCGAGACTTCTAGCACTACTTGCCCTCTGTGTAAGATTCCATTGACTGAGATATGGAAGGGTGACGGTATGTATTACAAATTTACTCTCTAAATCTTAGACCACAGAAGCCAGTGTTTTGGTGTTGCTGCATTAGTACAGTTGTTGTCATTGCTGCATTTTAGGTAAAGATTGAAAAGGAACTCAATGGCATCTACCGGCGATTGTTTGAACCGCTCCGTGTGCCTCCAGATTTGTTCAGAAGATTAACTGGGCAGTTCTGTATGATTCAACCCTTGAAAAAGGGCCAGACTTATGCTATAGAGGATAAAACCTCAGTTGATGACCGCCTGAGTATTCTCCTGAAGGGAAAGTAAGTGATCTTTTCATGGCCTCTGGGTGAGACATGAATGGAAGGGAATATTGCCCAATAATGGAGGAAGTGGTCCCAGAGTTGGTTGGTGGTGAACTTTCCTTTTATGACTGCATTTTGAAACACTACAGAGCAACATGTTAGTTATATAGAATTTGCTGTTCTCGATCTTGTTGGTGTCAGGATTTTCAATTGTGAACATTGTTAATTTTCTTTGACTTTTATTTAAAGTTAATGAGTCAGACTCCAGCTAAGTAGCTTAGCTGATTACAGCTTAGTCCAGATACACCAAGGCTGTGGGTTCGATCCTCAGAGCACATATGTCTAAGAGGCAACCAATGAATGTATAAATGGGTGGAACAGCAAATCATTCTCTTTCTCTCTCTCTAATTAGTAAATAAATCTTTTGAAGTTAATGAATCAAAATTGAAGTAGGTTTGAATTAGGCGTTGAAGTTCAAGAAACTTGTTTGTGTTTCAGAGGTGATTATTTTTTTAATGTCACAAATATAACTTCTAGGAGTATCAGTTTTCTGGAGAGGGAGAGATTGTATATTGTTCTGGCATAATAATTACTACCCCCCTTTCTGTCTCGAAAGTGTCTGAGTTAGGGGGTATCACTGAAGTAGATATAATAGCAGTGATACCCATTGGAAGGCGCTTGACTAGCTCGATACCAGAACCTGTCGTACTGTTGGCGAAATTGATTTTGAAATAAATAGTTGTCTTCAGGAAGTACTTTTAATTATGTCAGTCATGCATGGAGTCTTTAAAACGTTAGTACAAAATACAAGCCCATAAGATTTTGAGGATTTTGAGGATTGTTATGTTGTTTGTGAACTATTATAAACTTATTAACATTAATTTCTGTTATCAGAATGAAGGTCTCCTATAGAGGACATTTTCTGCATAACATTTACCCCTGTGCCTTTATAGATTCTCCTGAATTTAGATCAACTCAGATGCACAAAGGTGAAAAATTCCAGGTATGTTTTGGCATGGGTTTTATTTTGGTATTTATGTATTTATTTACTTTATTTATATATTTATTTTAAGTTGAGGTTTATTTGAGTCTATGGCCATACCACCCAGAATGCACCCGGTCTCATCTAAATTGAGATATATTTGATGTGTAACGTTGTATTTGTTTCAGGTATACAACACAATAGTCTAATATTTGTATATATTGTGAAATGACACCCCAATCAGTCTAGTTAACATTTCATTACCATACAGTTATATTTTTTCTTGTGATAAGATTTTAAAATCTGGCATGATTTTTACAAAGATTGAAACTTGTTCATGTCTCATTAAAGCCCAAAGGATAGAGAAAATGACTACGATTTATTGAAAAAAGTTTACTGTGTGGTATATATAGCATGATCTCATTTTTATGACGTTAAGTAGTGTATATATGCACACAAAAAGAAGTCCAGAAAGACCTGTCCTAATTTGTTCGGCGAGTGCTTTTGGTCAAGTGTTAACACAGTTATTTGGTTTGTTGAGTTTGATCGCTTTTTTCTTTCTTTTTTCTTGTTTGAATTTTTATAATTTTCCATGGAAAACATCTAATGCTTTTATTACAGAAAGAAGGAAAATGTTAGTTGTGAATAATCAGTGTTCCTAAAACATGTAACTAGTTACTTTTACTGGGGACAAACAGAAAATGGGCTTTGCCTTAGGAAATTTGTGTTGTTAATCATTATGAAAATCTAATCACTTTACTCTTTTATATTTAATGAATGTATTTAAGGGCAAAGAATGAGGTTTTTCATAGTTATAACAATTTGAACATGGACTACTTGGTGTGAATTTTTTTTTGTATCTTAAAAAAACTTGCTCCGTGATGTGGCACTTTGTTGTGACTCTTTCTGTAAGTACCCAGCCCTCCTATTCTACTTTCCTCATTCTTCGTAAGGAAGCCACCAAGAAAGTGGGTGACAGCTTCCTGTAGTCCCAGCCTCTAGATGCACAGCAGTAAGGGGAGACCCTCTGAACAGGGTTGCATATGAGCAGGAGGGTAAACCTGTCTCCACAGGTTTAGAAATGGGGTAGAAGGGGACGTTACTGCCTGAGGGAGGAAGAGTCAGTGATTCTCGAGGATAGATTATTTTTATCTCATTTTGAGATGCTGTTCAATTTGGGATGCTGCATGGAGATCCAAAAGACATTTTACAGACACACAGCTTAGCTCTGCTCCCACAAACAGCATAACTTGTTAAAGGGATGCACACTTACTAGAAGGTCTCAGAGAAGTTCACTAGCTGGGTGCAGTGCTGCTCCCAAGCTGGTTGAGCTGAAGCTGCAGAAGAAGGCAAACGCTGTATCCCGGCTCCTCTGATTTTCATCTTGTGTTTACCAGAGTCAGCTGTGCACTGAGGTTTACGTTCCTATTGTCTCGTTCCTGTTGTCTCCTTAATCACCACCATCTGCAAACTAGAATAGAGCCAGTTCTTTCCTCCCTCCTTCTGTCCTCTGACCTCCTTATAATTTCTTTTTCCAAAGCCCAACTTTTGTCTGTTGCATCCATTTCTCTGTGTGTAGTAGCAAGTGCTTTTACACAGCAGCTCCATCTCTTGTGATCCTGAAGAGACTGGGGTTTGGAGAGAGGGTGGGAACTGAGCCTTCCTCACTTCCAGAAGCAAGTGGTCCCTGAGAGGCCAGGGATATAACATGTACTATTACCTCTACTGGACTTCAAATTATTATGTTTACAATTAAGTGAACAAAAAAGGAATTCCTACCACTAGTTGCAGTTATCTTTCTTGGGGACCAGGGATTAGGATTCGATAGTTGATAAAAGTTCCAGATAATTCCTATGAAGATTCCACAGCATGACCCAAATGGTGGTACCATAGCTGTGTGAAGGATATGTATTCAGCCTTTCTAAACACCTGTCTTTCTCTGCACAGAGTCTAGTGTGTCATTTCCTAATCGGTGAGTAGATAACAATTACCCCAGCATCATCAAACCTGTGTTTTGTACAATTGGGGCAGACTCCATCAGAGTGAGCCCTCCAGAGAGACTGTGTTTTGTTTATAAAATGTCCCCCTTGGCAGTTATGCAAGAGTAAAAATAACTGTTGCACATCCGTGTAGGAGCATATTGCCTCTTTCTAAAGCAACTTCCCAAATGACAAATGTCATGTGTTCCCAGAGCCAACTTCTTACTACCTGTGCGCATGGCAGAGGACACCTGGAATTATCGGTGGTCAGACTGCTCCGCCCACATGCTCTTTACCCGCTCACCTCATTTTCCTCTAACTCTGAACGGTTACAAGTATTCTAACCAGGAGCTACTTCCTTTAAATTTTTGTTTCTTTTAATTTATTCTTTGGTGGTGATACTAAAGAATTTTACAGTAGGATGAAAGGGAGGAAGAAAGGCAGGTGGCCCCAGCTGTCCTTTGAGACTGCATGGCAAATGTCGTTGAGGTGCGTGTGGGAACTGTAACAATAGCCACAGTGGTGGAGTGGAGACAGCAGATTCTGAACTGATGGCTGCTCCCTAGGTGCTTACAGTCGTTTCGGTGCTTCCAGACCAAGCTGCTACTTAGAGCTGTTAATAGAATCTTGAGTATCATTATTATAAAAGACAGAAGTTGTCTGTTGTGTTCGGTTTCTTCTTCTTTGTACAGTTCTTTCATATCAGTGAGATTTGCTACTTACACCTTTTTCTCTTGCATTCTTTTCTGTTGCTTTCTCATAGTTGAGAGCACACTCTGTGCTCTGAAGCTCAAAAATCAAAGCTTACTGACTTTAAAGCAAGAAGAATATCTTGGAGGCAGATGTCCAACCTCTTGTAAAATAAATGAACACTAAGTTTTAACTGGTGTTTAAGTTAAACCTTACATTAGTATTAAATACATCCTTTGGTTAAGCAGTGAAACAGTTTAATCTGCCAGTTTCATCTGCTATATTTTCATGCTTATGAGAACTCAGCGAGAAGTAGTGGAATAGGCCACTTTTGGGACATTTTCACGTTCCTGCTGTGTGAAAAGTTGTACAACACATAGAGAAAATAACAACTTCTTCCCTGAGGACAGTCAACCAGTCATCCTGTCAGACTGCTGGTTCTGGTTCTAGCACATTCAGCAGTTCCTTCAGACACCCTCGTTCCTGTGTATGGTCTTCTTATTGTGTGAGGGTGCAGAATGGTCTACAATCTAAAGTGAGAGACTGATCCAGAACCTTGAGGTAATCTCAGCAAACCCTGTTACAACTGCAGAGTTGAACTTGACCTCAGAGAAATTGTTTCACATCTTCCATTGCCATGTTTGCTTCTGTTTCTTCAGTGAGATTCTTCACAAGAAGTCACATATGGCACTGATGAGGTACCCTACTACCTCAAGAAGCAAATTTATTTTACAGAGCTTTAAGTGTTCCAGTATTGACTTGTAAAAATTCCTCATTAAAATATGTTTTACCAGACTGTTGTGGCAGGAAATCATTAACTACCCACTTCCAACTAAGTACCTGCTCTTATGGACTTGTAAGTTACTCCCACATATTACTGTGATAGCTTATTATTAGAATACTGTTATTAAGTTTGAATTTAATAATAATTTAAACATGTTTAAAGACTTTTTCAACCATCAGTAAGAAACGGATTTGCTAAGTAAATTATAGTATCATATTAAAAGTATTGCCTCAGTGGAAATGAGGTTATTAAAATGGTTGAAAAGAAGTTCTAAATGCCTTAATTATCACCTGGATACAATTTCTTCTTCTCTTCTCCTGGATGATTTCCAACTGCTTTTGAACTCCTTGTCCCATTGTACATGAATTATACTTTCCAAAGTCATGGATAAAATCTTTGCAAAATGAAGGCACCTCAACTCTCCAAAGCCTTTCTTCAGCGTTTACGGGCAGGGCTGGGCTGGGCCGCCGAGAATACCCAGTGCTCACCTTTCTCTAACCACTCCCATGGAATATCATTCAGGCGCCTTGCACTTGCCCGTCTCCTACTGTTTCTGGGAACTCCTAGGGACTGGAGTTGACCTTACATGTCTCATCCTATAAATCTTATCTTTTTTGTTATATGTTTTTACTTATCATGGCTCCTTCCACTGGAATATAGGCTTTATGATATGCACTCAGCTGTTCTTTGTCTGAGGGACTTTCAATGGACTCTAAGCCCACTTTGTGGTCACTTGGTCAGATTACTCTGTTTTTGATCAACTCAGAGAATATTAGACACAGTGGGTAGGATTTGGCCTGGTGGGAGGATACGCCTGGGCTGGAAGTGCTCACTCCCCCACTGAATAGCATGTGTTCATGAATACGTGTTTTGGCACATCTCATTTGGCATCTGAAAAATAGGAAGGAATATTACCTATCTTATGTTAATGGCAGTTTTGAGGATCCATTTATGTGATAGATATAAAAGCACCTTAAATGTTTAAATGTACAATACATATATAAAATGAGTGGCATTACATGCAACTGTCATTCCCTCATGATTCTCTATCACTTTTCCCTGTTTTATATTTGTCCAAAATACTTAGTGCCACCTGAGGGTGTCATATTTTATCATTTATTATCAGCTTCTTTCATTAAAATGTCAGCTTCACAGGGCAAGGATCTTGGCTCTCTCATTCACCATTGTACCAGAGCCATATTTGTTAGTCATGGCCTAGACCCTCAGCCAATTCATGAGTCCCTGTTCTTCTCTAGTGTATGTGTGCAGAGCTGGCTGAAGAAAGTCTTTCATCTATAACTTGGCCTCATGAATCTCATGTCGGTGCAGTGTTGTTTTTGATTTTGCTTGAAGCTGTATTCTTAAACCTCTGTCTTAATCTGTAGCCATAAATTCGACATCCAGCTGGGACAGCAGCCTAATGCACTCCCCAGCAGTGCTGCTGACACAGCGGCCCTTCCTCCGTCACCAGGCCTTGCAAACAACCACTGCAGAACTCTGCGAGTTTGCTTCTATTTAATCTGTAGGTTGTTTGGTTTATAACATAATTTTATACATAGTTATAGAAGCTTATAACCTATAGATGGGTCTCATTTAAACGACAAATCATTGCTATAATATTATCCACTAAGTTATTCTACCCTTCTCCTCCCCCAAATTACTATAGTCATAATTCATGTACAAAGATGTACTTGTTTCTTTGTGTTTCTTCATCAGGTCACCATTGTTGCAGACGATAACTGCAGATTTTTATGCTGGTCAAGAGAAAGATTAACTTACTTTCTGGAATCTGAGCCTTTCCTATATGAAATATTTAGGTATCTTATAGGAAAAGACATTACAAATAAGCTCTACTCATTGAATGATCCCACCTTAAATGATAAAGTAAGTGTTTTACTGAGTGTGTTTATTTTGTTAAATAAATATGTATGGTGAAGTATATCTCACTTAGTACAATATACGAGGGAAAACCCCCTCAAAAAAACTGGAATTATTTTCTGGAGGGTGAGCCCTTGTAGTACAGGCTTTCCCCTCTAGGTGAGTGTTCTAGGAACCCATCTGTAGCAGTGCACCAGCTGGTGGTATTACGAGAGGCTGTGTTTGGCTTCAGTGGATTTTTTTTTAAGATTCTTTTCTTTCAGTGTGCTGGCCCATTTCATGATGGGTGATTTACAAGCCCACCTGCCTACACGGTGCTGAGTGTTCAGCAGTTTTTGGCCCAAAATTGAATGACCCCCATATCCCACCCTCCCAATCTCGCCCCCGAGCAACCTCTTTTTGCTTTCCTGGGTGAGAAAAAGTCCTCAAAGGGAAACATTTTGCTGATGTGGAAGAGGTGAAACAAAAAACAGTGGACACACTAAAAGGCATCAAAACCGATGAGTTCAAGAACTGTTTTGAGCAGTAGAAAAAGCATCTCGATATGTGTTTCAATAGAGAGTACTTTAAAAGTGACTGAAATTTAAACATGTAAGAATTAATACACAATTCTTATAAATAATTTCCATTTTGGGGGGTCCCCATGAATTTTCATTAATCAGTCATATGTTAAATGAAGTGGAAAAGCCTTCAGGGAATTATTTCTCAAGAGGGAGGAAATGTTTTGTAACTATTATATTTGCCATTACCTGATGAGGTGTCTCTGAATGTCAGGGATCTCCATGGGTGGGGAGGAGGTGCTGTCCTCTTCATAAAGGGTCATCTGAGGACTCTGCAGGAGATGGCTAGTGAGCTGTCATGTGAGCCGGGGACGAGTAAGCCAGGGAAGGCGAGGCGGTGGGGAGCGGGCCAACTGAGAGAGGCCAGCAAACCCTGGTGGGCAGGAAGCTGGCTTTGTAACCCTGGGTCTTCCGGTCTGCACGTCCTCCCAGCCAGTCACCTTCCAGAAGGTCCACAAGTGATGACAGAGGTATGGGATGGAGGCCTGTAGCAATTCAGTTTAGCTTTTCAGAGCTGTGTAGATCTTCAACAACTCATAATTTCAAATCCCTTTCCCCACCTTTGCTTAGAAGGAAATTAAAATGATCACAGAAGAGAACTTGCCAAACATCATTCCTGGTTTAAGCACTGCTCTCCAGGGACTGGGAGTATGGGGGTGTGCTCTTTTAAAGTCGCCTTCTCTAAGCTGGTTGTTAAATTAGGTTGGTGCTTCTTATTTTTAGATGAATAAATAGGCTATTGATTATATTAATTTTATTATAATGTGTTTATAGTAATATCAGAAAATAAAAATTATAGCTAACATTTATTGGGCACTTACTATGCACCAGGTAGCCTTTTGTTTCAAGGAAAAGTAAATGCCACTGATAGGGAGAATATGACATAAGTCCCATAGATGTCAGAAATGTCAAAACTTTGCTTTTTAGAAGGCCAAGAAGTTGGAGCACCAGCTCAGCCTTTGCACACAGATCTCCATGCTGGAAATGAGGAACAGCATCGCCAGCTCCAGCGACAGCGAAGACGGCTTACACCAGTTTCTTCGGGGCCCCTCCAGCGTGTCCTCTCTTCGTAAGTTATCCCAAAACTGATACTACTTTGGGATTCCAATGGATGTCACGGGAAACAGACCAATGACAACTTCGATCACAACAAGAACTTTGCAAGTAACTATTTAGCAACCTAGAGGTATCATTAGAAATAATCAAACTTTTTCTAGCTCCCCCCGCCCCGTATTTCATATCAGCTAAACCCAACTTTAGAGCTCTTCTTTCTGTTTCAAAAGTGTTCACTTCTTTTGCCATGTACTTTTCTCAAATACTGGTTTACCAGAATACTGTGAAAGAGTGCTTATGGTTTGCTGAATATTCAGCTTCGTTGCTTTTATTATTTTAGTTCTAGCGAAAGCTTAGACCCAGCAGTGTGCTGAAAATGCTAGCAAGCAACTGCTGGGCATTTTACTGCTGGCTGCTTATTTTAGTGCGGGCACCAGGAATTAACAGGTGACAAGGTCATGGGATATCCCTGAAAGGTGAAGGAGGCCATCAGCTGCCCTGTGACTCATCTCACTCACACATCACCGAGAGGCAAGTTTTGCGAGATCCTTCCATAGTTTAGATTGTTTGAAGACATTTCAAACACACTGATGACACAACTGTTAAAGATTAGTAAGTAAAATGAGAGAAGCTAGATTATTTTAAGAATTAAGTGCTTAGAATTATTTTAAGAATTATTCTAAGAATGATAGTAAAAGAACTCTAAACAAATTCATGTGCAATAGCAAAAGGACAAATTGCAGAAACCTCTCTTATTGCAGAAACCAAAAACTACTTATATTTCCAATTGTATGTTAATCCAGTGTAATTTATGTGTATCCAGGTATTTACCAGGTACCTGGATATCCAGGTAATGTGTGTCCAGGTACTGTGTGTCCAGGTAGATACACATTCAGCAATGCTAAGTGTTATGTAAATGATCTTGTAACTTTAGATGCCTCATTTAAATTGCATAAGGATTCTAACTGTTGCATGATTTGAATTAACAAAAGTTTGACAAGGCCGCATAATTGGTGTACGCTTCCAAAGCAAGGCTGGGCATAGGAATGCTTTGTGGACTGAAAGGAGATTTCAGGAGCAACACAAATGAGAAATTGGGAGTGGTTGTATTTTATTCCAAAGCTACATTTTGAAAATCACTGAGGTTCACCAAAGTCTGCAGTCTACTAGCATATCAAATATATTGAAACAGTTTGGTGGTCAATAAGCATTTCAGATGGGCCCATCTTCATTACCTGAATAGTGATTACATACTAAGAAAGGTCAGCAAAAAGGAACTTACAGTTAATATTGTATGTGATTATTTTTCCTATAGAAGACCTTATGTTTGTAGTTCTTGATTTTGTTACATTTTACAGTCTTGCTCAGGAAGCGTGAGAAATGGCAGTGTATAGTATCAGCATTTGTTGACTTAAAATCAGTTTTGTTTTTCTGTAGTATTTTATTGTATAATCTAAATATTTGGGGGGTGAAACATTATAGGGGGAAAGCTTATGTAGAGTATGTTGTTTAATTAGAATTAAAACATGTTTTCAAGATTAACATTTGTACTTTACTTGCTTCGAGAAATCTCTGTTTGCTGGTGTTCCGTGGATCGGTCACTCATGTTGTCCGTACCGACCAGGGCTCTTGCCTTAATAATGATTAGCTGTGTGACTTGGAGGAAGCCACAAGACCTTTCTCATCTGGTAGGAGCTGTCATATCTCAGCACAGACCAGGGTCTGCTCACAACTCCTCCTGTGCTCTCTTCCCTCTTCCTTGCAGTATTAAATCACATCAACACCAGAGTTCGATCGGCCACTCCCTGCATGGCTAATGCGGGCTCGGTGTTTGCACAGATGTGCGCTGCCCTTCCACACAGGGTCGCATGTTCACTTCTGGTTCCCTTGTTCCTTTGTCTACCGAGACTCTAGGGCTTTGCTGTACAACCTGCTTAAGTTGTTCATTTAATTATTTAGCCTCGGATTTATTTTGCAAGATCTTACATATCAATATAAATGTGTCTAGCTACACATGTGCTTCTTTTGACTGTGCGTGTGAACTGCACCGCCAGTCCACATCCGTACCTGCTCCCTGTGACCAGTCTTCCTTCTGCGTCTCTTGGCCTCACTCCTGCAGTTTCATGAAAGACGTTAGGACTTGAGCACAACATTGACACTAACTATGAACTACTTAGTTCACTCTCGCATGTGATTCATTAAAAACTGGTTCTCGTTTCTCTCGCTTAGGTTTTAGCTCAGAACTACTGAAGGCTGTCGTTTTTCTTTTGCCAGTCCTATCAATATGCCATCTACTTTTCCATGTTACAAATTATACTCCTTGTAAAACAGAATGCAGAATCAATCTCCTAGGGCTGTTAGGCTGAAATAACAAAATTAATCACATTTTGAGCATGTGTTCAGTCTTCGTAAATGGTGGGTCCCTAACACTGGTGACTAAGCTTTTATTATCCCGAGTTTCTGATGTGCAAATGGGACGGACTGGCAGCTGCTCTCAGCAGCGGCATCAGTTTTGTGAAAGCGAATGGGGGAAGGGAACAAAGGGCCATTGACAACCGCAGCTCTTATTTTTTCAGGTGCTCTCTATGCATAATCACAGTGCATACTCACTGTAATCCCGCACAGAGGGGGGTAAATTAGTTGTTGCTAGAAGATGTGGCACTAACAGACAGTCCCCCGAGTCTCTGGCTGTGACGAAGAGGCTGCTTTTCTGGCTCACATGCATGCTGGATGCTGCTCCAGGCCCACGTCCAACTCACCCTGGGACGCCAAAGGAGCAGTCACTGTTTGGGTCACTGCCACTTCCTGCGTGGCAGAGGGAAGACGGTGGTGGCAGAATCACACCATGGCTCTTAGAGCTCCCTCGTCGAAGTGGCTCACGTTCTCTGCACCAGAGAAGTCGTTTGTCCAGAACCACCATCTGTGAAAGGACTTTTAATCCTCCTGCAGGGGCTGCTCTGGGAGGGGCCTGATGAGGAAGGGAAAGCAGGTATTTTGACAGTAACACAACCTATCACAGTGAGTACTGTTTCACTTTACAGATGAGGAAATTGGAAAGATGAGGAAATTGGAAAGATGAGGTGCTTGTCCACTTGTCCCAGTGCCACAGGGGGAGGTGCTGGAATGCCAGCCGAGGTATCCTGTCTGATCCCAAAGCCCAGGCTGTCAGACGATGTTGTCTCTGTGTTTTAAAAAGAAAAAATGCACATAACATTTGACTAAGCGCTTTACAGTTTACAAGTCACTTTCACACCTGTTCTTGCATGTGGCCCTGACAGCTCTGCTAGCGAGGAACAGCACTGTGGACGAGTACACCTACCCTCAGAGAGAAGGTAGTGCTTGCCCAGTCACTTCCTTCCTCTCCAACCTGCTTCTTTGGAGAAACCTACCATCCCCCATCCTTCATCATGACCAAGTAGTGCTGCAAATAGGGTCTCCTAGACTGGTTAATTTGCATTTCAATGAAATTTTCTTATTCTTGGTATGAGGGTTCGACATAGGAACATTAAAAATTAACCAATGGGGAGGAGAGAGGAGGAGGCAGGCGAGGGTACAAGGGGGATAAATGGTAATTGAAAAATATAATAAAAACTAAACTATTCAATTTTTTTTAAATTAACCAATCATATTCTCCAGTCTTTCAGCTTTTGGTTAGCTTTCACATTGCCTCTCAAGTTCTTACAGAATTACGAGCAAAGCTACTCTCTAAAAATTACATTTATTTTGTATACATTCCTAATTAAACAACTTTTACATTATCCCCTTTAGTTACTAATAAGGGGAGTCATAAATAAGGAAGTAGACTTAGCATTCAAATGCACACGAACACGTGTCATGATTTTTTTCACATCAGGATCAGCGCGTGTCCCTTGCAGTTGGCCAGTGAGTGTGTCTCCAAAGCTTCTTTCATTCTCTGAGCTTCACTTTCATCTCTGTCTGATTCTCTGTGTGAGTGCTTCTGCGTTTTTGTTTTGTTTGGGGGTTTTTTGTTTGTTTGTTTGTCCTGTAGAACACTGATTTTTAAACATAAATGAGCATATGCATCTCTTGGAGATTCCGTTAAAGATCCTAATGCAGACGTGGGTGGGGCCAGGAGTCCACTGGGTTAACGAAGACCAAGCGACGCCCATGTGCCTGCTCCCTGGACTACTCTTTTGAGTAGTGAGGCTGCAGAATTCCCTGCATTCTGAAATTGTGTTGATTTTATATATGTTACTTGTATTTTCTGTCTAGGGACTTGCATAGAACCTGGTGAAGGCACAGTTTTAAATATCCTGACCAGGCTATCGTGCTTCACACATATTTCAGAACATTACACAGTGTGTGTTCGGTCTAACAGACATGCAGTTCAGAAAAAGGTGGTGGGGGGACTTCAGGTGAACTATTTCAATGATCCCATTTCTGCTGGTCCCATTTCTGACATCGTGCTCTGTTGTTACATGCTCGCGATGCTACATTCAGAGCAAGATCCCTGCTCCCTGCCACCTAGCTTCTGCATTCCACCTCAGGTTGTTATTCAAAGGGATGAAAGTGAGGTGACAAGATAATCTAAGAAAAAGTGGTTTCTACCCATTTATTCGGTAGCTCACTCATCATCCAATTCACTTCATTCGTCTCGCTTGCTTCATTTACTTGAGTTTCCTGGTTGGACGTGTCAGAGGAAGACAAGAAGGGACAAGATGCTCAGGACGTGCGAGAAAGACACAAGCTGTCCCCTCTCTGCTCCTGGGCCAAGGGGCTTCTCGGGGTGCCTGTCATCTTGTCTTCCTCAGGAGGCTTAGCTCCCCACATGGAGTATGTCTCACACACACACACACACACACACACACACACACAGAGATTTTTATTGGCCTTGGTAGTTCCATCTCGTAAATGGTGCTGAACACAGGCATTGTCATGGCAACAAGGAGGACATATTGTTTTCCCTTTAAAGTTACAGAACTTTATTTTAGTTCATTGGAGTCAACCTATTGTTGGGTTTACTAGGTTTTTAAATCCTGAGGCAATATGGGCAGT